TGAGTTATGCAAGAAAGCTATATTAGTTTATGACCTTTGTCATGTTATAAAGTATCGATCAGCCTCCAGGAGGGGATCTTGATGCTTTAGTTTCTATGTCATGTGATGAGGATTTGCGATGATGGGGGAAAGTTTTCTTTTAGATGATGACACAGAAGGAACAAATGGTTCCTTTGGTTGCCTACTATATTAAATTTAAATGGTGCATTTGTGCCTTCCTCCTGTCCTCCTCATATATCGAAAGACCATCCACCTCCCTCCGCCTGACTTTTCACACTAGCAGTTGAATAATTGTTTTAGTACTAGTGCGAAAAAACCACGTCGTGGGATCAATGAATCTATCTGATTATTAAAGTTAAAAGTTTGCTTCTATTTAGACATTTAGTAATATTAATAATAGTTTGCCTCTGATTTGAGCCTGATTTTTCAATTTTGTATCATATTCATCATTATCGTTGCATTGTATTTTTATTATATACTGCGTAGGCCGTAGGTCAGTGCTAAATGCTTGCCTAATCTGATAATCTAAAACTGCCTATTCTGGCCTAATACTACCTCCGTCTCATATTGATTGTCCTCTTTCAATTTGGCACGATTATTAATAAAGTGGTTGAAAAGTAAAAGTTGTGGTTGAGATTTGAGTAGAATAAAGTAAAATGATAAGGATCACATATTTTTTGCCAAAAAAGGAAACAAGACAACAACCAAAAAAGGAAAGTAGGACAACCAAGATGGGACGGAGGGAGTATATCTTAAGGCAAAACACTAATATTAAAGAACAATATATTTTTTAATGAAATCATTCTATTTAAATTTGACTGCATGCTTATAATAGTCCTTCATTGAAAGTTTCTTTAAATAACCCTTACTGGATCATTTTTCCCATTAGAAAACAGTAGCCCTGTTTGGCACTGAATTTAAACCAATTTTGTCATGTTTGTTTAAGCCCCTTGAGAGAAGTAGCTCACTAACCCTTATTTGCTTCGGATATAGAGAATGAATATTTACTATTTTACTTTGCATCTAAGTTTTATTTATGGTTTATATTTGTCCCACACTCCCACCAAGAGTGTTCATCTTGACTCCTTTTTCTTCTGCTTTATTAATCATCCATTTCCCACCTCTATTTCATATCTTGTAAAGGGTAAGTCACTTGAAAGATATTGATGTTTATGTTTCTTTGAAAGAAGTGGCTTTAGAATAAAGGACATCTCAAATCTGGAGAAATCCACGTTTTGGATCTTTGTTCCATGTTAGTGTTTCTTAAGCTTTAATAACATTGCAGGTTCAAAACCACTTGAGATATGGAATAGTTTGCCCAGGGGAAAAACCTGGTTGAAGAAACCAAATCCTCACCTTAGCCTCCCACGCATCCATCAATACTCTTTCTTTCAAACAAATAGTTCTGACCAAAGCAGCCAATTTGCTTCCGCATAAAAGGGATTCCAGGTTTCCCATGTGCCTTATGGACTTATGGTTTGGTTTTAGATTAAGGTTCTTAATTTTTTTATTTTCAATTAAAGGTCTTGATTACTGGTTATTAACTAAAGTTTCGAATTATAAAAAAAATAGTTTTAGAAGTTCTAAAATTGAATCTGGATTACGTTGCACCTAACTTTTCTGCCGAAGTAAACAGCCACCATGTCTTCCTTATTCTTTTTGTTGCCGGTCGAAGTTGATTTTTATTCACAATCTTGATTCTGCCAACGGTTTGTTCTTTCTTTAGGTGATTGAAGTGAAACACAGCACAAAAGACAAGGTGCTGACATACTCTATTGTCCAATAATTGATCTCCAAAAAATTATGCTTTTCTTCTTATGTACATGCTGGTAGATATTATATTTCATGCTTTGAAATGATTTCGTTCTCTGTATAAGATTAAATACTTCTTAGGGGTGGGAAAAACCGAACCGAAACCCGGAAACCGACCCCAGACCGACCCGAATTATGACCCCGGTCCGGGTTTTTTCTTTTTAACCGGCCCGAATTAAAAATACCCGGACCGAACCCGAAATTTCGGGCTCATTAACGGGCCTTAAAATCTATAACCCGGCCCGGACCGAAAAAACCCGAAACAATTAGCTTTAATATAAAATTAATATAGTATATAAGTATAAATTTATAAATATTTCCTAATATATGATTATAATCACGGTGGATAAAAAAAATCATTTAGTAACTTTTAGAGACTACAAATATGTTCAATTTGTTTAGCATAATGACCATGAAAAACAGATTTATAGGAACTCTATTCACATTTTTATCTATAAGTTTTATTTCGAAATATTTTTAAGAAACCTATATTATTTATTTATATGCATCTTAAATAAAATATTAAGATAATTATCTTCTTTGGATCTGAATGTTGGTGATTTTGAAGACTAATATTTGTGTTATTATTTGCGGTTTGTATTTTTCATTAATTTTATTTGAAAATAGGTGTTAAAATATAAAAGAACAATGACATAGTTCACGTTCGGGCTTTAACCGGCCCAACCCGAACCCGGACCGAACCCGGGCTACCAAAAACCCGACTTGGACCGAATATGACGGACTTTGTTCCGGTCCCTAATTTTCATAACCCGAGACCTTCCGGGTAATTTCCGGGTTTAGCAAAAACCCGACCCAGACCGGACCGATCCCACCCCTAATACTTCTTATATGGAGTGGTATATGAAATGCTCATCACAGACATATCTCTTTTAAAAAATGTTTAAAGTTTTTCATAAAAAGTAGTGGTGACTGGCGACTACCTGGGCGATGGATGCTGGCTTCGTTGGTTTTCAGGTGGGATCAGATGCGAGGTTAGTTGTTGAAATTTTTGCAGATAGAAAAAACGGAAGGTTGTCGTGAAAGGAAATGAAGTTTGATGTATTATCACTCACACTCGTTCACTATAAAAATGTAATCGTACCCTTCATCCTATCATTTAATAAGTAAATTTTAGTTTAAGTATAGAGAAAATTATAGGTATATGTCCAAAACTTTTGATCGTTTAAACTTTTAATCCTACAATTTCATACAAATTAATAAATTTGTCCATATTAAAGACCGAAATGAAGAGGCCCTATTAAGTGGCTTTGTAAATAAATTAGTTAACCGTGCTTTGGTAGGAACATTATGAAATAAATGCCATCTCCAACAAAGTATGGAACAAAATACCAATCCAAGCAATTATATTTAATCCAGAAGTGAAAAACTAAATTCTTGCACACATATGCAACACTCAAAGTCTCAAATAGTCAAAATGAATTTGAAAATCACTGAGATGAAATTTTACCATGCAAAAATGAGATAAGTGAGTAATTATAGTGTGGATCACGTTTCTCTCTCACAGACATACATATAGTCCCTCCGCCTCACAAAACTTTAACTTGACCATATTTGCTTTTTTGATCAATGATCAAGATTGATCAATGAAATTGTTTAATACGAAATTACTTAAAATATGGAAATTATATAGAAATATTATTTGATACAAGCATAAACTTTATAAATTTGATACAAGTATAATAACTAAATCGTTGCTCAAGATTTATTATCAATTACCAAAAAAGTCTAATTAATCACATAAAATAAGCATGTACGATGGTATAATGCATAAGAGTGGTCTCAAATATAAATGACATAAATTTTTAGGATTGCTCATCTGATCAATACTCAGATATATGAAGTTTTCTAAGATCACTAAATTAAACTAAAGCTGAGTCATTTGAATCAGGAGGATAATATCAAGCATTGACCAAGACACTAAATTTCATTTTGATCCTCGTACAAGACTCTTGTACGAGCTGGGCGGGGGCATGCAGGGGCAAGCGCCCCCGCTTCAGGCCAAAATAATTAGTACTACTACTTATAATATATTCAATGTTCCTTTTTTTTCAAAAATAAATACTCATTAAAGACAATTTTAGATTAAGTATTAAAATAAAAGGCAAAATCTTTTAGGAAACATGTCTCTAGGAATACAAGTACGTATTGACTGCAGCGTACGTCACTCATTTGAATGCAAGTGGATTGTTTTAGACCTTTAATGTCACACGGGTTGATTTCTTGGTTATAATGCAAAAGAGTATTAGGATTAACGATAAAAACATTCTCGAGACTATGTTGGATTCCCTCCTTAATGGAAAAATTAATGAGAATTTTAGAATTTTCAAAGATGTCTAGGATTTTGTATATGCGTGTAGAGAAGTGTTGAATGTTCTAGAATAATATTGGTAAGTTTTCTATAAAAATCACTAAAACCGTGCGGAAGAGTGTGGAAGCCTCTAAAACATTTTGAAGAACTGTGGAGTTCTCTAGATCCTTCCATTAGATTAGAGAAGCTTGTGGATACTTCTTGAAAGAATTTAGATGCATAATGGCGTATAAAAAAATTCTAAACAAGATTTGATGAGATTAGTATAGATAGGGGAAAAATTGCTCATTTCTATGAGAACCTTTTGAGTTTTGAGTGTGTAGATGAGTGTACATGCAAGAGTCCTATGAGCTCATTTTCTTATGAAAAATTTTGAACATATTAATACCTAGTACGATTTATTCACCTAGCAAATTATGGATATGAGTCAAGTAGAATGTAATGACTAATTTATGCTAATGTATGACATTTTTATTGTTTTTATATTTTGAGAAAATACACCATAAATATTAGCCTTCGGTACGCTCCCCTTCGAAAAATCTTTGGCTCCGCCACTAGATAATATCCAAGGAATTATTCAGCCCGGAAGTCCGAGAAACTCTGTTATTTAAAAAAGGAGAGACATAGACCAAGAAACCTTCCATGATGTCTCTAGCATTACTCTCTCTAATCAATAAGGCCCGTGACCTAGGTTCGTGTTTCCATTTGCTCCTTTGAGAGGTCTTAACATAAGGTCTTGCCCAGTGGAGAAGCGTATGCCATTATTTATAGTAAGAGACCCGCGTTCACGCGTATTATGTACTTTCTCGCGTATTATAGTATATGTTTTATTAAAGATCAAAATCCTTGATTGGGATGAGTTTCAAATTCGTGATCTTCTCCTTTGGAGTGTCACAGTAATGTCATCGAACCATAAGGTGTTTGACGTATCACGATACAGTTGATACAGTTAAAAGCACTTGAGATTTGAGAAGTAAAAACAGTAAGTCATCATCAAACAACACACATGTACAACTTCTCAGACCACTCACTACTAAATATGTAACCCCAAGCAGTTGAGAAGTTAAACGAATGTAACCAATCACTCACTGTAACCCAGATACAAACTAACAAACATATTAGGAAAATTTGTACATTCACATGGTTCAAGAATTCAAAAGGACCTTTGTCTTTAGTAGTGTGGGGGAGGATAGCTTCCAGGAGGACCGGGATAATGACATATAACAAAGGTGCAAAATATTAACCAGTGAGAATCACAAGCTAATAATCAAACTTCAAAAACTGATGGCAATATATGGATAGGTAGGTACCTTGGGGAGGGTAATGTAATGAATTATAAGCTGGTGGCGGGTACATTGGGGGAGGATATGCCGAAGGTGGCGGTGCACCATAAGGATGTGGATAAGCAGATTGTTGAGGAGTCGGAGGATAGGCTCCCGGAGGTGGGGCGTATGGAGAATAAGGGGCAGGAGACTGTGTATGATAAGGAGAGGGCGTTGGGTAAGAGGCAATGGGAGGCGGGAGTGGGGGTGAGAATGGAGATGCAATATAGGGAGGAGCAGATGGAGCGTGGCATGTGGGCTGCTTCTGAAATAATTAGCAAGTCAAAAGTTACAAGAGGAAGGATAAAAAACATAACTCTCACATAACGAAAAAACATGAAGGATCACTTACCTTAGCATTTGCATAGTGCATTATCAGGCGAATTTCTCCTGCATTTCTGTTTGAAGCATAAAAGAAACAATAATTTACCAATTTTTTATTTTAGTTCATAAAGATACCAGTACACATTACTCGTTGAAAAGGATGAAAAAATTTGACTTTCCAAGTCATAAATCTCCATTTGAATAAGCAAACTGAACACCTAGGTTTAAACATCACACAGTCACACTATCCAAGCGGAGAGCAAAACAGATTATAATGAGAGAAAATTATACTTTAAGTCCTCCAATTACACTGTTTTCCAGCATTAGCCCCCATTTATACTTTGATCCTTCATGAAAACTGAAAAGTCATTCTGTGGGATAGAATGATAAATATCTCTTAAGAGTTGCCTATATGGTCCTTGTAAGTTGTAACCAAACCTATCCACACAAGCATACACAGTAAATCTAAGTCAGAATTAGGATCTGGGGAGGGTAAGCTATAAGCAGGCCTCACCTCTACCCTAGAAGTAGAGAGGTTACTTTCGTGAGACCATAACCCACAACATGAACACAAGTTCATTTCATATGTTACTGGTTTGAATCAACTACTTCTTTATGCATTTTGCAATGTCTAACCCAAGCCAGTTTTCATCATTATAAGATATTGTAGACAAATAACATTTTCTGGGACATGGTTACCAACTTACCATGACTCTAGATGCATTAAGTGTTCGTACAAGAACATAAATCATGAAAGCACGACGACATGAATTTTGTGATAGAGACTACAAAAAGTTTTTAGGCTTAGAGCAATTCACCTTCCAGTCTTTGTTTGGAGTGGCCATGAGATATCATCATACCCTTCACAGAGAACTTTATGAAGTACAACCCTAAAACAAGGTTTAGCTTTCACTTATACTCTTATAAATACCCTCAAACAAAACCTAAAAATCACAGACCAACAAGAACTGAAACAAATTTACAAAAACATAAGAAGATTTGGGGATTCATTACTTTCCACTGCCAATGAAATCATCGTAAGTGATGGTATTGCTATTCCAGACAACAACATTCAGCTCTCTTAAACCCTCAATCAATGAAAACACAAATTTTTCTTGAAACGTTGGATTCTTCCCTCCATCTACACAACCAAAAACAAAGAAATCCACATTAATCCAGGGCGGATCCGAGAAATCTGAAACCACAAGAATGAAAGGATGGAATACCTGTACACGTTCGCGTCCGGAATTTGGTGGCACCATATTCGAGACAGACATATGGATCTTGCCTGGAGATCCATTCGGTGTCCTTCAGCTTTTGGCAAGAAACAACTGCAATTTATAACCATTTCAGAAATTTAAACCAGTATATATCCTCCAGGAACAAAAAGAGTCATAAATTACCGGTTACTTCGAGGAGTTGACCATGGATGCCAGAAATCGACATGGAAGAGGAGGGTGAAGAAGAAATTGGGTTATGTTTACTTGGCGACATCTTGCTGTGGAAAAAGAACCGATTTTTATGGGTTAACCGTTAAAAACTCAATTTTATTTACGGAGTATTTAATTCAAGTAATAAAAGCTCAGAAAGGAAATTATAGTACGGAAGTAAAATTTCATTCTGCCTGTCTATGACTGGTAGGTATATCTGGAACATGCGTTGTCTTGAAAATCGAAGTATGTAAAACAACAAGATTAGACCTGCTATTTCTTGAGTTATTAGCTTTTCTTTTAATTTTAGAAAGTTAAGCCTTGGAACAATACAATAATGGCGGTCTTTTTGCGATAAATTACACCGCCCGCTAAACGGTGCTCACCGTACAGCCGCGTTTTTTTTGTAATTAAATCTGCGATTCAACCAGGCAACTCAGCGATGAAGACGACGAAGGACAGCGGATAGAAAGTCGGCTGCAACTCGCGAACGCAGAACGCCGATAGCCAAGCTTCCAAGTGCCCCAACTTCGGACTGGCAGATACCGATCGATAGAAGCAGAGACGGCTAAGATGCTTGGCCGATGAAGAGGCTACTTTACCTCTGCGATTCCGATTTTCACAGCCCTATTTTCCCCTCTTGCTAATTTCTGACCTCCTATGTGCTGCCACAATTTTTTTATAAAAAATATGTTACGTTCTTCGTAATATTATGAAAATGAGTTTAATTTTAAACTCAAATGAGTATAGCCTAAAAGAAATGAACTCACACAAAATAATATTGAACACATCGAAAATGAGTTTTATATTAAACTCAAATGAGTATACGCCTAAAAGAAGTGAACTCAACAAATTATTATTGAATACATTGAAAATGAGTTTTATGTTAAAATCAAATGAGTATAACGCCAAAATGAATGAGCATACACAAAGAGCTTTTAAATTTTTGGATACTCATTTTGTAAGTTACAAATGCTCATTTGTTATTGTTTAATGCTCATTTAAAAATGTTTCACATTTCAAACGTATCATACTACATTGGATTCAGATATTGAATTAGAAGATATGAAGCAGAAATCACTGATGCTCATTGTTAGACCCTTATTACTCAAAAAACCAAACTCGATGCTCATCACAATCACATAATGAAAATCACTTGTGCTTATAATTTCAAGTTGATACTCAGTGAAAATGTCTTCACTAGTACAAAATTGGATTTTCGCATGGGTTAAAAAGGGCATTTAACATCGGTTATACAACCGATGTAGATTCAGGGGATGTGAAAAGTTTTACTTTTCACATCGGTTGTTATAACCGATGTCAAATCTTTTTGGCATCGGTTGTTCCTATAACCGATTTAGAAAATGCATTAAAACTGTCACTCCGAAGCATATGACATCGGTTTTGACCGATGTTAAAGATTTCACATCGGTTAAGCTGTAACCGATTTAGAAAAGGCATAAAACTATCGTCACACATGACATACAACATTGGTTTTGACCGATGTAAAAGAGATGTGACATCATTTTTAGTAGTAACCGATGTCAAATGTTGAAATTTATTAAAGACCTTGAGGTTTATATTTCTGTTATCACATTATGTACAATTGTACATTTGTTTCATTTATAAGCAATAAATCACCGGTCTTTCAATAAATTTAAAGTTGTTATAAACTAAATATAATCATATATGTACACATCACATATTTTTAACACACATTTTCCCAATAATTGTAATAAGTTTACAAAAGTTTCAATAAACTATAAGTGCAGAATTTACGTCAGCCACTTAAATAGTCTACAAATCAAAAGTTGCAATATTCTTGACTATAAACGTATCAATACATTGAAATACATACTAAACGGCATAAATACAAAATATGAACAAGTGGAAAAAGTTCATGCCACGCCTTTGAAGGAAAGCACCGTTTCTAGGTACAGTAATACATAGCCAGTTCGTGTTTGATCAATCTCCTCAGAAGAGAATAGTTTCGGACTGAAAAATCTCTACAAATTTAAAAAAGCATAAGATTACATGAAGCAAATTTTATTGAATGTAAATAATCCGCCATATATATTAAAATTGAATTGGGACAAGGAAAAGAATTATATGGTAGTTGCTACTAATCTTTGTTGAAGAATCATGATGATCTGGTGTTGGAGTTGGCGCGAAATGTTATAACCATCGGCTTGCTTGGGAAAAAATGGCAGGACATATATTAGCACTTCACTGTGACATTTTATTTATTTATTTATTTATTTATTTATTTATTTATTTATTTATTTATTTATTTATTATGGAATGTATATCATCATATTCGTGATTTAATAAAATATTGAAGCTCAAAATAATAAATATTACTCAAAAGTATTTACTTACCATTCAAAGCCTGAAGTTTGGGAAGGAATCTATCAGCAATGTCAATAGAATTAGTGATTCCTGATAAGGTGAGGCCAAATAGTGGCCAGTCCTGGAAAACTCCACTCAATACTCTCAGCATCAAAACTAGAAACAAGCACATATTCAGATGAAATACAAAAAGGAACATTTCCATACCAAATATAATACAACGAGAGAAAAGAAATCTTGTTAACACAAAGAGACCATGAAGTACAACTCGGTCTTTGGAGATTAAATAATCCAATTCATCAGCTACTATTAACCTATTACCAAATCACAATTAATCCATTATTATTAAAGATGAAATACTACATGGAGTAAAATTTTCACGAGTTTCAAGAATACCAAATAGAAAATACTAGAGTAAGAGAATACAAGATTTCGCCTTACATCATGGGGATTAATGGCTCTGTCAGCTTGCTGCTGCTTCACTGAGATCAATTTCTGAAGAAGCTGCTGTGCCACTAAGCATCTTCTGAGGTTGAACCCTTTCAAGTATCTTGTATAAGTAGAACTAGTATTATACCCGTGCGATGCACGGGACATTTTTTCTGTTTGCATTTGTAGCATGTTTTAAAATAAAATGTTAACGTGAATTATATTTACCTTTATGGGAAATTGAAACATATACATGCTACAACAACATTTATATCATAGATCGACTATAAAATTTCATTATATTAGTTTTGCTTAGCTAATTAGCATTTCTTATCGTTGACGACTTGACGTTTAGTAATTTTTTTAACCCCAGGGGGCGTTGGGGGAGGGGGTTTCGGGGGCCTGGGGTAAACTGGTATCAATCTCACTCCATTGAAAATTGAACCCGGACCTCCCATAAAGGAGAGTGAGTTGGTGATCAGCTGGGCTATACCGCTTCCTCATTGCCGCTTCCTCAGGGGCAGATCTACCTTTTCGTGAGTGAATGCTCCCAATAAGTTTTTGATAATAGGACCTGAATAATATAGAATTTTTTCAAATTTATTTTTAAAATAGTTTGTCTTTAATTTTTTCTCATTCTCCTATTAGATATCTGTGAGAGGTTAAATCATATGCATGGCTAAAAGTGCATTTGTTTATCTAAAATAGATCTAATTGTATAAAGTTAAAATGATCTAGATTTTTATTTAAAGCATTTCTAAACTAACCTCACATACTATTTAAATTAAGTAAATACTACCTGGCCTATACAATACAATTATATACTTGCACACACAAACACATAGTTTTAGATGATTGTGTCTATGAGGATTAGCTAACATGTGTGTTGTTTATTTCAATTATGTCGTAGTTATGTTCAAGTTGGTGGGTCTTTTGCATATAACTAAACCAATAGTACGTACGTGGGAGTAGCGGTTATGCATAATTGATGATCTATGCAGTTTTATGTTGAAGACGTAGTGCATGATGAATTAAAATCGAATAAAAGAGTTATAACTCACCGAGGGCGGCAGGTCGACTGCAGGTATCCACAGAGGAATGTTGAGGAACCACTGCAGGTAACCACCACTCATAGAGGGCGGCAGCGGTGGTACGGTTAAGGAAGCAATGAAGTCAACAATGGATGCGGTAACCTTACACTGGAGTACCGGACTCTAGGAGATTTGTGTTCGGTTGTGAATGGGCAATGGCGGCTTCGTAATGTCGATCATCAAACCCGAATTCGATTCGTCGAAAGCGGCGGCGGACCCGTTCGGCTGCTTACTCCCCAATCTGCGAGTGCGCAAGTTCCACTGCCTGGTGATTTCAGATGGACCCATTGGCGAAATAGTATCTGGGGCAGTCATCGGAGCCGGCAGCGACCGTTCCTCGCAAAATCGCGTCCTTCATCTGAACCGTCGTCGCCTGGAAATTACCCAGCGCTTTCTTCCTTACAGTGGCAATCCTTCTACTTCGATCGGTAATTCCCGGCCACCATTCGTCAGCCCACTTTTTAGATCACACACCCCAGAACTGCCTCACCTGATCCGGGACGCTGCAACCTAGAATCACTTTCCGACCTCTGCTTCCCAATTCAAGCAATATCTCTGACGACAGAGTATTGCATATCCGGTGAACGGCGGAGATTTGGCCCATAAAATCAGGCTTGCCGCACCAGAGTTTCTGGTTTCCCCAGTTCAAACGTAACCACTGGGAGGCGTGAAATTATGAAGCGGCAGATTCGATCTTTGTTTGGGTAACTTCGGATTTGGGAATGAATTCGCCGGGAGCCTCTTAACCGACATGATGTATCCGTTTTCAAATTAATACAGGCGTCTCTTGAAATTTATAATTGATGAC